TAGGACAGCTGGGGCTACAGGGAGACCCTGTCTCAAAAACACCAAAAAAAACCAAAACAACAGCAGCAAAAACAAACAAAAAAGTGAGTCAGTATCTCTTCCCTTCCTAATGATGACTTAACTTCTGATTAAGCAGTTTTTCCTACCTGAATTGATGAGCCCAGTTAGCGAGAGGGTTTTCAGCAGTGTAAAAACAGACCTTTGTGCCTAGGCTTTTATGGGTTTATTTATTTATTTATTTAGTTCTATTCATCTTCTCCCACCCTATTCTCTGCATTTATTCAAATGACTTGTTTTCCAGTGGCCAATGACAGCGCCCCGGAGCATGCGCTGAGGCCTGGATTCTTATCCACTTTTGCCCTTGCAACAGACCAGGGGAGCAAGCTTGGACTTTCAAAAAATAAAAGCATCATCTGTTACTATAACACCTACCAGGTAAGGACATAATTGTCAAATGGCTTAAATGGCTCACTGATTTTACTTCAGGTATTGTTCTGTATCTTTTTTTTTTCCCCCCTCCGGTCTTTTTGAGACAGGGTCTCCCTGTAGCCCCAGCTGTCCTGGAACTCACTATGTAGACCAGGCTGGCTTTGAACTCCTCTGGCCTGCCTCTGCCTCCTGAGTGCTGGGATGAAAGGCGTGCACCACCACGCCTGGCGTATAAAAAAAATTTTTTTTAAATAGTGTGTTACCCTAAAAAGTGCAAATTAGATCACTGTTAACTCCAGTAGATGGTGCCGTTAGCTTACATGACTCAAACAACTTATTTTTTGTGTTATAACAGGTGGAACATTTTCCTTGAAAATTAAATAAGCTGTTTAATTAAATTTGCTTGAAGCTGAATCATACTTCCTTTTCATCATGCAACTTACTACTTAGTCCTTATTTTCTTTTTAGGTAGTTCAGTTCAATCGTTTACCTCTGGTGGTGAGCTTCATTGCCAGCAGCAGTGCCAACACAGGTATGCTTGAAGTAATCCTTTATAGTGCTGTATCTATGCAGTGATACGATAGGAATAATATAGAGAAAGAAAATGTGAACTTAGGGCTCACTTCCACCATCTTCTCCTTGAACTTGATTTCTCTGAATCCTAGTTTCCGTATCTGTATAATAGAGCTAACACTTGCCTTCTGCATTTTATGGGGGTGATTTTTCAAGTTCAGATTGGACAGTATAGGAGGTTAGAGGTGTATGTGATAGAAACTAGTCCAGTTCAGTGTTATATTATCTGTTATACTTCGCCCCATTTAAGCAGTTTAAGGAAATCGAACGGTGTAGAACATAAACTAAATAGAGCACATCAAATGTCAAAATGATTTAATTCTGTATAGTCAATCAATTCGATTAGATTGTGAATATTTTTTGAATAATAGTGGACAAAAAGAATATGATGGAGAATTTAGAGACAAAAGCAAGATGGGGGCAAGGATTGGTTAGCTCACGGTCCAGGGTACAGGTCATCATGGCAGGGAAGTCACAGCACCAGGAGCTTGAGAAGCTGGTCACATCACATCCACAGTCAAAAAGGAGAAGAGACAGTGAATAAATGGATGTGTGCTCATGCTCTGCTCACTTCTCCACTCATACAGTTAAAACTCCTCTGCCTAGGGAATGGTACATAGTGAGCAAGTTTCCACCCCAGTTAATGTAGTCAAGGTAATCCCATTCAGACATTTCCATAGGCCGCCTTGATCTAGATAATCCTTCATTTAGAGTCTTCCCAGGTGATTCTAGATTGTGTCAAGTTGACAATTAGAAGTAACCATCACAGACAGTGATAACAGTGACTAGGATGAACACAGTTCCAGTCTTTAGGGCTGAAGGATTCGGAAATAGATGTGGACACCTTTAATCCCAGCACTTGGGTGGCAAACCCAGTCAGACCTCTGTGAGATCAAGGCCAGCCAGGGTTACAGGGAGACCCTGTCTCAAAAAAAAATTATACTGAACCTCATATTTGACTAATTAACCTGTCATCACACCCCAAATTGTCAGTTGCCATATTGTGAGCCGCTAATGAGCATCCACACACATTGATATCTTATAAAACAGAGTAAGATCTTTGAGCAAGGAATAGGCACCCAGGTCGCCTTTATTCCACTAAACCGGGTGCTCTTTGCCACACCATTGTGTCCCAGATGCATCAGTGAACTTTTTTACTCTACCATTTACCTTTAAAGTTTTTTATTTTTTCATTTGAAGTAGCCTTATTGAATTTATAAAATAACTTTATTTTGCTCAATATTGAAGAAGCCTAACGTCATACAGTGTTAAAATTGGGCTGGGCATGGTGGCGCACGCTTTTAATCTGGTACTCGGGAGGCAGAGGCAGGCGGATCTCTGTGAGTTCAAGGCCAACCTGGTCTACATAGTAAGTTCCAGGACAGCTGGGGCTACAGGGAGACCCTGTCTCGAAAAGACCAAAAAAAAATTGAGTCAAAAGTAATACACCTACTTTTGTAAAACCTTGTTATGTATTACTTCTGAATTTATACACATTTTGAAACAGTAAAATATAAATTGACATTTTCCTTCTACGACCACCACACTAGGGCAGGGATTGTGGCACTCCAGAAGCAGAGATAGGAAGATCTCTGAGTTCAAGGCCAGCCAGGGCTACAGAGTAAAACCCTGTCTCAAAAAAAAAAAAAAAAAATGGATGTGGCCATGCACACCTTTCATCCACTCAGTATCTACTAATACAGATAAATATTTTTCATTCATCTATTTGATAATAGATTATAAAAATAAACTTCATAATGAATATGGAGTTTTTGCTTTATTAGGTATTAGAGTATTCTGTTTTGAGTTATGGAGAATAAACTATGCCTGATTTACTTTGTAGTAACTGAATTTTGGACAGAGAATGCTCAATTGATGCTTTGTAGGAAAAAAATTTCTAACATGCTTAATTTTTAAATCTCTTCTAGGACTAATCGTCAGCCTAGAAAAGGAGCTTGCTCCATTATTTGAAGAACTGATAAAAGTTGTGGAAGCGTCTTAATTTCTCTGTGGTTTTGATGTGCACCTTCTCTTTGTAGCACCTCAACACCAATCCAGCAATCTTGAGACCACAGTGATAATTTCACCTTTGTATTCAGGAAAGGGGCCCTTACCACCTGACGCTAAAGAAAAGGAGCCTGTAGCTGTAATGTATAGACGGGGCAGCTGTTATTTACGTGTAGAAGGTCTTTTCTTATCTCGGGAGATCTGGGGACACCACAGAAATGGTTCAGTCTATTGCAGCTCCCATGGAGTTAGTGTGGGCACCTGCTAATGGATGTTAGTCTATCCAGTGGATCAGAATCAAAATGGTATATTGATCCACTGGAGCCCATAAGTGCCCACTTCTGCAGGCCACAGATCCTTTTCATTGTGAATAATAATGAGGACATATTTTTCTTCAGATTATATTTGCTGTCTTTGCATTGAGTGTGAGGAAGGTAAAATGACTTAGTAAAAATAATAAAGTCAGTACAATCACTAACTTTCCTTTGTATATATTATTTTCAGCATAGATGCCTATTACTAATTGATTTGATTCTTCACAGAAGGTGCTGCTGTTTAATAAAAGGAGGATTATAGCTTACAACTTTTCTTCCTATTCTGCTTTCTATAACCATTGTCTTAATATTTGTGTTCATAAAATTTAAATGTTATTGAATTCTGTTTGCAAATCAGTATATTGTATATAAATATGATAGTATAGCCATTTTCATACATGAATATAAATAAAATAGTATTTTTAAAAATATAGTTTGAGCTCTATATAGGCCTTTTATTTCAGACTACTTCTAAAAGTTTAATGCACATAATTGACTCTTTTAGCCACATGAATAAATAGTGAATGCTTCTTGTAGATATTGTATTGGAGATTACTTTACCTAGTATAAACTCAGTATTTATAGGCAGAGCTCATCCATGAAGCTCATTTAATCTCCCAAGAAAGAAATATCTCTGTTGTTTATGTCCTAAAATGTTTGGGAATGTGATTAGCTGTTCAAGTTAAGACCTTCCTCGTGGTTCTTTACAGTCACTTGTTACTAGTATGATTCGGTACATTCTCATTGAACATCTCCTGTGTGCCAGTCACTGGAGCTACCAAAGTGCAATTCAGAAACACCACTCCCTTGGTATTTGTCTACTCTGGGGTAGTTATCAGAGGACAACTTGCAACAGTCAGTTCTCTCCTTCCACCACCTGAGTCTGAGGCACTGAACTTAGGTTGTCAGACCTGGCAGCCAAGTGCCTTTACCCATGGAGCCATCTTGTCAGCCCTAGAATCACTTAGTAGAGAGAGTAGTACTAAATCAAGATGTCCATTTAGATCAATGGATTAATCCAAAACACTTCCCTTAAAATTTTATAAAGGACTTAAAGCATGAAGATGAGGACTTAAGACATGAATATGAGAACTTAAACATTGTAAAAATGACATCATAGGATAACAGGAAAAGGATTATTCAATAAGCAGGCCAGTCTTCCTCATGTCCTGCTAGTAGGAGGCTAAATCCTTACAGCCTTTATTGCACAGATATTTTATTTTCTATTAAACTATAGCCTTTGGTCTTGTAATCCTTCCAGAAGTATGTCTTCCTGACATGTTATATATGGAAAAAAAATCATAAACAAGCATGTTTTCATCTTGGTAACATCAAAGGATTGAAAGCAACCTAAGTATCCAGCCTAGATAGTATCATAATTTAACATTTATGTGTGGGTATGGGTGTTCATGTGCTGCAACACATGTGTGGCCATCAGAGGACAACTTGCAGAAGTCAGTTCCCTCCACCATGTGGGTTCTTGGGATTGAACTCTGATCATCAGGCTTGGCAGCCACCACCTTAAATACATTTGCCCAATGGAAAAAGTAAAGAAATGCTGTATAGGGAAGTGATTTCCAAGACAGAATGTTCATTCAAAACAACCGTAGTTTGAGATCGCCATGCTTCATTCTATAAGAAGAAAATATGCATGTGCATATTGGTACTTGCATACATGTTCTAGACTATTCTGAAAACATACGTTGGAGAACCCGATTGTATTTGGTGGCTTTCCCGGGGTGACCCTTTTCATTGTAAACTTCATTATACTTTTTGAAATCTTACCTATTCAAAAGGAATGAAATTGGGGCCGGAGAGATGGCTCAGTGGTTAGGAGCATGTACTGCTCTTGAAGAGGACCCGAGTTCAGTTTCCAGCATTTATATCAGGTGGCCAACAACTACCTGATGCCTCTGGCCTCCATGGGTGTCTGTACCCACATGTACATAAACATAATTAAAAATCTGTTTTAGGGCCTGGAGAGATGGCTCAGTGTTTAAAAGCACCAGCTGCTCTTGCAGAGGACCTGGGTTCATATCCCAACACCCATCTGGCAGCTAACAGCAATATTTAACTCTAGTTCAGGCAGGGGGGGCGTTTCAACACCGTCTTCTGGCCTCCTTGGGCAGTGTACAACATAGGTGCACTTACAGGCAAATACACATAAAAATAATAAAATATAAATAATAAAATTGGATGGGTGTGGTAATACATGACTTTAACCCCAGCACTCAGGAGTCTTGAGTTTGAGGCCAGCCTGGTCTACATAGCAAGTTCCAGGCCAGCCAGGAATACACACACACCCTCTCCAGAAAAAAAAAGAAAAGTAACATACTTAAAATATTTTATTAAAGGCCAGTGAGATGGCTGAACAGGTAAAAGGGCTTGCCATTGAAGCCTGACAACCTGAGTTTGATCCCTGAGCCCACTGTGGAAGGAGAGAAGCGGCCAAAGAGCTCCAGATGCTCACTAGCACGTGTGCATCCACACATACAATAACAAAAAATTTTTTTTAAATTTTTCATCAACCAACAAAACTTAAAATGAGATATTTGGGAAGAAAATTGCAACAGTTCTCCAAAGAAACAGACCAGCAGTGTTTCTGTGTATTTGAGTTTAGATACTCTCATCTATTGGTTCAGAAACAGAGCCAGAAGTGGTGTCGTGGTAGTCTTTTATAAAACGTTTACTTTATATTCATCTACACATGTATGCATATGTCCATGGCATGAGGGTGGAGGTCAGAGGTAGGACAACTTGCCAATGTTCATTCTGGTCTCTCCTGCCACCATGTGGAAGCTAGGGATGGAACTCAGGTCATCAGGGTTACTACTGAACCATCTCTCCATCCTCTCCCCTTTAAAATTGTATTTCAGAATGGCAGTCTTTATGTCCAGTTTGATAGGATCATTGTGTCTTATGATGGATTCATTTCTCTCTTTGAAATAGACTTCTGGATATGGGAACAGGAACCAAACATTGTACTAGTAGATCATGGGATAGATTGATTTCCAATGATCTGAGGAACAAGTATCTTGCCAAAATGCCTAGATAGTTGCTACTTCCTGTTCAGTACATCCAATCAGTGTGACATCATCACTGGACCAGGGCAATGTCTTGTGGAAGGGAAACCAGGATCTTGTGGACCAAATTGTAGCATGTAGCTGGGGTCCTTCTGTAGTAGAGGACAGTGACTGTGTTGCTGGCCTTGCCAGCTGCAAGCAAAGCATGTTGATGGTCTTTGCTAAGAGTCTCAAGAAAATAAAACTATTTGCCAGATCAATAACTTGACACTATTCCAGGGATTTACTCATTTTCTCAAGTAATGAACTCCTACCTGGAACTACAGCTGGATTCGCCATCAAGGTGAGCTCGTGATAGTTAATTATCACCCTCCAAGATCCAGTTGTTTTCTGCACAGGTCAAATTGGTCGACCAAAGATGTGGGAATCCCCACCCCGCATCCAGCAGTCTTTGCTGGTGGCACCAGTTTCTCCAAACTGTCCAGGAATATGGTGTTGGTTTTGGTTTAGTATTTTTGTAGGAGGAACAGCTCTAGTCACTTTCATTTGGATTTTCTGTTATAGGAAAGATCAGAGAACAGTGTGGGGACTCTTGGTTTCTGAGTATGTCTACACCAATTATGCACGTAGTTGGAGTTTAGGAAGTAGGTATACGATGGGGTCAGGAACCCACTGGGCTCACCTCTGCTTCCATCTTTATTTTTTTTCTGTGGAAAACTCAGTCTTCAAATGCCTTCCAGATATTTTTGGGCGCTCCCACAGTGCCCTTCATACGAATTTTGAAGCCACACGGCAGTTTGTGAATGTCCTTCGCTTTTCCCCCATTCTCTGGAATGGACTGCGCCCCTCCACTTTGGTGGTTGCTGCTAGTTTCCTGCAGTTGTGGCTCGAGGCTGCTGGTGTCTACCCTAACATCATGTTCGGTTATACATGTTACACAGCTTATATCTCAGTATCTGCCTGCTGGAGTGGAGCAGCAATGGTTTTGCTGAGAAGGGCTTGAGTAACAGACATGAATGTGCTCAGAACCATCCTTCCTCTATGATGCTCAGACCTCCACTAACTAAACATTCAAACCCAAGGCTGTCCTCCCCTGTGAGGATTCCTTCTCAAGTAGGTGTTCATTGTCATTTGCCTGCTGGTTAGCTAAACTTGTGCTTCTCAAAATGTGGCCCAGACAGCTGTTCTGTACACTGTTGTCATAAACAGAAATTGGTACTTAACAACTCGCATCTCCCCAGCACTGAAAAAAAAATAAATGACACTAATTTGGTAAGAGTAACTATATCTGTTGAATCTAATTTTTAAGTGGGATTTGTTTTTCACTTCATTTTCAAATCAGAAGTGTAAAAAGGTAAAAGGTGAATCTGGTCCTCTACCACAGATGTTTTAAGAAACTCTACTTGAAGTCATGACCAGATAGCCTGGTCACAGTGAGCAGTGTAGGCTCACATCTGGTACTTTCCTTGTGAATGAAAAGTTGAGTAAAACAGCCGGATCTGAAGCAGGGAAGGAGGCGGTCCTCATGCTCCCCCAGGAGTCTTCTTGCTCTCCTCTGACCACCCACCCTGCCCTAGCAGTGCCTGGGAGGTGGAGCGAGGAGAACAGTGCACTTCCTGCAGTGCCTACTAAATAGGAAGAGAGGAGGCAGGCCCACAAAGTGTTCTGGTGCCCAGTGACCCTTAAGTAAGAGGCTGCTTTGCTTCCAGGGACAAAACTGGCCTTCCCTCACCCAAGGGAGAAGATTTTGCTGTTCCAGCCGGAATATCACCCCCGTGGACCAAGATGTTCCCAGAGGGACGCTTAAGACTTTGGCTGTCTTTCTTAGGGGTACTTCCTGACAGGAAGCTCAGCTGTTCTCAGGCATTCCCCTGCTCTGATCTTCCACTTGCCCTTGACACCCTGTCCCCCACATGCCTTGTAGATTTGGAGCAGAAGCCAAGGGCCCCTCAGCAAACACTTCTCTGGAGATAGAGGTATAAGGTTCTTACGGGTGGACAGCTGACAGGTAAGGCATGGCCTAAGGAGCCTAAGCACATAGTGGCATGTTAACGCACCTCTTTCGTGTCAGCCCCTCTAACAGACCGTTTAATCTCTGAAGTGTGCTGTCCATCACCAGCCATTGCAGATGCCTCACAGTATGTCATTCACTTCTATGTCATATCGGTATTTATTGCCTTTTCCATATTCAACTAAAATTCCTGGAGGAAGGGGACTATTTCTTCAGCTCCCGGTCTTTTGTGGCTTCTACTTTCACTGAAGTATCAGTAGTCACTTGTATTTCTTTTGTTACAAACAATAAAAATGTTTTAAGAGCAAAATTGGATACACACAATGAAGCCATGTACTTTTTATTTAATCAAGAAACCAAAAGATATAAATAAACGTGTTTTACAGAAGGTAAAAGCAGTAGTATTAACCTACACAAAGACTCTTGTTTCTAAGAAAACAAAGCCATATATCTCAAGGAGGGTTCATTTGTGACTTCTTTTGCAACCTTGACACAATACATTTGAACTTGACAGTTACTTTTTCTCATATAATACAAACATAGCAAATCACATTTAAGACCTTTGTTTCCAACCACTGCTAGGAACCAAACCCAGTGCCTTGTACATACCAGGCAAGTGCTCTACCACTGAGTTACAATCCCCAGTCCCTAAAAAATGTTGAAATATGCAAAAATGTCATTTCAGAGGCTTAGCTGTTTAACAGAAGCAGCTTATTTAACAAGCCCTACAACGGTGAGTCTTCACTGACACTTTGATGGCTTGATATGTCAAGGAGATGAGTAAAGCATGCTTTTGGGTGTGTTCTTGAAAGTGTGTCCAGAGGATTAGACCATGAGGGCCCTGACTTGATGAATGGTTTAATCCATGAATAGATTCAGAATTTGAATAGACTATTGAGAGGTGGTAGAACCTGAGATGGGGCCTGGTTGTTAGACGTGGTCACTAAGAGCGCAGCTTGGGGGCTCTGTCTTGAGTTGGCCCCTTCTGGTTTCTACTTCGCTCTGCTTCCTGTCTGCTATGACATAAGCAGTTCCACTACACCCTTGCCGCCTTCCTGCCAATGCCGCTGGAACCATGAGGGAAAATAAATATTCCTCTCTGTAAGTTGTTCTTGCAGGTATTCTGGTCGTAATAACAAAAACCTAACCCAACATGCCTTTCGACTTCAAGAACAGTGTTAAATCACCTTTGCATCACTTGATTCAGCATCCGTTTGTATCCCTTCTAACTTCTGTCTTAAGAGACTAGAGGAACTTAAAATCTGTTAATGAACTCTCGACACCAATAGTTCATTCCAAATCAATCCTCTTATTCTAGCTTGCAACAGCTGTGTAACACATGTAGATTTAGTGTTCTCCCTCCCCTAGCAACAGAAATTGCTCTTTAATAAGACTCAGAGTACTTATGGGGTTAATGTTTTATATATATATGATTCTTGGAAAAGAGACATGACTTAGTGCTTACAGGTATATTTCAGTTGTAATAGCTATCAGAATAAAAGTTATCCCCTACTTCATTACCCTTCCTCAACATATGTTTTCTCATAGTCTAAAAAATTTTCACCAAAGTGGTTGAAAGTTTTTTATATTTTTTGACAGTCTCACTATGTAGCCCTGGCTGTCCTGGAACTTGTTAGGTAAACCAAGCTCTGAACTCACACAGAACAAAGTTGTGTGCCACCATGCTCAACCATTCGTTTCCTTTTATTGTCATATCGAATCACCCACAGGACATATAGTTCTCATAGTTTTATCATTAGACATGAAGGTTGCACTGCATTTCTAAGCCTTTAAAAAAGAAGTATTTGTGTGTGTGTGTGTGTGTGTGTGTGTGTGTGTGTGTGTGTGTGTCGCAGGGTGGGGCATGTGCAGGTGCCTTTGGAGGCCAGGGGTGTCAGATCTCTTTGGAGCTGGAATTACACATGATTGTGAGATGCCTGACATGGGTGTTGAGACTGGAACTCATGTCCTCTGCAAGAGCAATACACACTCAACTGCAGAACCATCTTTCCAGCCCTGCTTTTGGCTTTTCTACATAAAACAAAACAAAACAAAACAACAACAACAAAGCAGCCCTTCCTTCAAAAGTCCTTGGTATTTATTATCTTAACATGCTTCCTAATGAAGCAGCCTGAGTCCCCTAACATGCTGTTACCCTCCTGGTTAACAGCACATCCTGGAGGTTAGTTGTACTGACCCTGACACTGGGCAGAGTCCGGGCAACTAATGTCAACAAGCCTAGGCCTCTGTGAGAGAAAACACTGGCCCTTCATCTTGTACTGTGTGTTCTGACCTGGGAGCAGTAGATAAGTAGTTTCCATCCCAAGGACAAGGGCTTCTGTGTTCTGGAGGAGACGGCCACGTCCTGGAAGGGCAGCTGTTTTCCAGGAGCCAGAAAACACAGCATACAGGTCCCAATGATAAACTGTTGATTTGTCTTTTAGAGGAAATCCCTTAGTGAGCTTTCCTCTGAAGGCAGCCACAGATCAGCACACCTGGAGCATTCCATCCCGCCCCTGAGCCAGGGCATGCCCTGGCAAGAAAGTTCTATTTAAAGATGAATGACCGAGATCGGATGGTGCCTTCTTCTTGATTCAGCTGTTTTCTTATTTTTGACTGCAATAAAGCACAGGGGTATCTATTATTCCATTGTTTTAAGATAATAACCCTGAAATAATAAAGGAAAACATGCTAATTAGGGCCAGGAAATGCTAAATTAATTACCATGCCCCCATACCTAAGTTTTAAAAAAAATTTATGTGTATAAGTGTGTTGCCTGCATGTAGGTAGGTGCATCCATGTCATGCAGTGCCCTTGGTGGTCAGAAGAGGGCATCAGATCCCCTGGAACTGGAGTTATAGACAATTGTTAGCCACCATGTAGGTGGTGGGAACTGAACCCCGATCCTCTGCAAGAGCAGCCAGTGCTCTTAACTGCTGAGTCATCTCTCCAGCCCCTAAAACTTTTTTAATTAATTAATTCTTTTATTTTATGGGTATGAGTGTCTCGCCTCCATGTATGTAAGTGTACCTCTGCATGCAGTGCCTTCAGAGGCCAGAAGAGGGTGTCAGATTCCCTGGAATTGGAGTTATAGATGGCTGTTAGCCACCATGTAAGTGCTGGGAACTGAACCCAGGTTCTCTGCAAGAGCAGTCAGTAATCTTAAGCACTGAGCCATCACTCCAGCCCACCCCACCTATTTTAATCTTTTTTAAAAAATAATTTCCTCATGAGACATTATAAAGCCATTGTCAAAACATGTACAAGTTGGGAATTGATCTAATACTTATAGGAAAGCACAAAATGCGATACTATTCAGTGACTCTAAAGGAAGACACCAATCCGAAAGTGTTGAACACATCATTAAGTAGACTAAGCAGGTGAAAACCACCAGACAATGGCTGGATTTTGTTTTTATAGATTTATTCACCCAAGGAGATACCTGAATGTTGTGTACATTTCAAATATTTTTGCTTTAATTTTTCTATTATGTGTCATTTAGGTAGCGATAAATATATAGAGCCAAAAATGAAGTCATTGGGGCTGGAGAGAAGACTTAGCAGTTAAGAGCACTAGTTGCTCTTACAAAGGACTCAGGTTCAGTTCCTAGCACCCACATGGCAGGTAACAACCATCCATAACTCCAGTGCCAGGGGATCCTATGCACTACTCCACCCTTCCCTTTTACAACTCTGTCTCTCCTTTCATGACCCCAAAGAGTGCACAGATTCTCCACAAGGCTGCAGACAGACCTTCCTTTGATTCTGGAGGATGCTCCAACTCAGTAGGAGTATGCTTGAAACCATCTACATGTTCTATTTCAAACTAGCACTCTGGGGACCGTCACAACTCACCAACTTCCATCGCAATATCCTGATCCATTCATCAGCTTCCACTCCTGTCTTTGCACAGAGATAAAATGTCCTGAATGGAAACACCAAGCTGAAGAAACAAAAGAGTGTGAGATACTTTGTGTGGTTGGTTGTATTCGTATTCTTTGAATATGAATGAGTGTTTCCAAGGGAAGGAAGAATTGATAAGAGCTCTGTAACTATAACAGCAGCTTAAAGAACTGCTATGAACAGAGCAATTCCTGCCAACTGCAGAAATGTCTAGGAAGTTGTAGGGTTGGTTGCATTATCACAGGCAAGATTTAGATTCTCTAAGGAGACTTTGAAGAACAAACAGCATGTGTAGAACACCCCCACTTCTTTTGTTGTGCATGTCTTGTGTAGAACATAATGTGTTTACTCAGCTGAGCTCCCCAGTGGTCCAGAGCCGGTGCTGTGGTGCAAAGGACAAGCCAAGCAGATAAGGGAGTTTGCTGAAAGAACTCAATTGTGCAAGCTGCTTTGAGGAGAGTAACTCTGCCTCCTGAAGACAGGTGGTTTTAACACACAGGACAGAAAAACCAGAGTAAAACTCTTTGACTAGTTATTCATCCATCTCTCACCATGAGTTAGTCTCTCTCAAAAAGAAATGAATTTTCTTTCTGGCACAAAAGACTTACTAGATATATGAAAATTCTTTATTTCACTGACTCTGATTATACAGTCAAAATCATTTGCATAATAAGGCCAATCCTAACTTGTGATCATTCTGTCTTTTCAATCAAGATTCAAATGCTAAAATGTTTTTCTGTCTTTATTTTTTCATAGCCTAGGTTGACCTCGAAGTATGTAGCAGAGGATGTCCTTGATCTCCTAATCCTTTTAACTTGAACTGAAATTCAGAAGCATTTCCACTACCCTGAAGCCCAAGCTGCATATCCTGTCACTGGTATGAACTAGCCAGGAGGCAGGTATCCCTGGGGTGGGTGTAAAACCTTGATGTGCGTGGACAGTGGTGGGAGGCTACTGCTGTTGTCCGCACAGCACACAATGGTGAGTATGAACTGCTTTCTGGAACTGTCATTTTTGGATACTCCCTGTGGGAGACATTGTGAGTTGCCCTCACAATTTTCCTCACAGGGAAATTTCCTTTTCCTCTTGCAAAGAGAACCCAGGCAAATAAACCCTAATTAAGCCAATTATGATTATAACTCTGTTGTGGCCAGTGAGTCAAGGGGAAGCCTTATGGGGGGTGGGGGTTTTCCTGGGAAACATGGTTTTCCTGTTAAAAAGGGACAGCTGTGGCTGGTACAGCTTCTTCATGCCTGTGAGAACACAAGGCCTGAACATAGCCCCTGGGATCTGAAAGAGCCAGAGAGGAAAGCCAAGAGACCTGTGGAGACTCTGGCTGGGGCCTTTGCAGAGGATCTGCCTGCCTGGTTATCATACAGCAGGTCTTAAAAAGATACCCATTGTTGGATTTTCTCAGGTATACTTATGAAATTATAGTTCTTAGATTATTTTTTATTGTGAGGAGATACAAGCTCAAGTCTTAGGGTAAAATGCCATGATATTTGCAACTTCTTTTCAATTGGTTCAGAAAAAAAAAATAAATGTAGTGATAAAGCAAATCTGGCAAGTTCTTAATGCATCTAGGTTAAAAGTATGAGTTCCTGCCTTTTAGTTTGTCTATGCTTAAAAATCTTTCAAATAAAAATTGGTGGACAATAAGACAAGCCTTCCTCTCTCAAGACACTACCTGGCTCAGCAAATTTTCATAGCCTACTGATCATACCAGAGCACAACACAATACAGATCAGCCATCACTGGAGTTGGCAGAATCATAATCAAAATTGGAGGAAAACCTCAAAGAAATAAGGTTGTCTAAGATGTGAATTGTGCACAGCCTGAACTCAGCCAGCCCATCCCTTTGTTGACGCTACTTTAAGTGAGGGATTTCAACCTATGTGGCTGAAAGCACTCTTAACATGTACGCCCTGTGTGAAGGCTGAGTCCATGCGGTTCAGGATTAAATGAGCACACCATATTAGGATACATAGCTTTTTATTGCTTAGCTTAAGAGACTTTAAAAAACATTTCCTTTATGAAAATCACTTACCAAAAGCAGTTTACCCTTTCCTGAGAATAATCAAATTGAACAGCCGAGCATTCTGTTAGATCTAGAATTCGAATTGGTTCTGGTGACTGAAAAAAACAAGTCATACAATAAGCACAGAGGTGTGTCCATCACTTACCCTCTAGCAAGGTTGCTGCTGTGTGCAGCTGTCAAATTTCCTTCATTATGGCGGGTGATGGGAAAGTCTGACAAAAGGAGGCACATGCTGGGGGTTTGGGAAGCAGCCTTTCTCAGACTGAGCATTAAGAAGACATCTCCTTTGTTAATTTACATCACATGGAGATAGACTTTAACACGTGGAAGGGAGTAACATTTTTCTCTCATCCTTTTAAAACATCTACATTTGCACGAAGTTTGTATAAGGAAAGGAAAAAGGAAGGAAATAATTTTATATTGGCATAAAAATATGAACCTGGGCAATGGATATGTTTTTAATAGAAGGAGAAATTGCTTCTCAGAAGCAGTTAATAGAGTGTGGCAGAGGAAAAACTTCATTTCCCTAAACAGAAGGAATCCGTGGCCCTGTAGATCTACAGTTTAACTGGTTCAAGAAAGCTACTTTGCGGGGGGGGGGGGGACGGGACAAATCTTCTCTTTGGTCTTTTTGAGACAGGGTCTCCCTGTAGCCACAGCTGGCCTGGAACTATGTAAACCAGGCTGGCCTTGATCTCACAGAGATCCACTTGCCTCTGCCTCCCAAGTGCTGGGATTAAAAGAATGTGCCACCATATGCGGCATTATCTTTCTTTAAAAAGAAGCAGCTGCAGATCAGGAATCAAGAGCTTAGGCCAGCAAGACGGCTCAGTAGGTAGAGGTCCTTGCGGCCAAGCCTGATACCCTGAGTCTGATGCCCGGGAACAACATGATGGAAGGAGAGAACCAACTCCCACAAGTTGTTCTCTGACCTCCATGCAAGTGCCTTGACACCTGGATTTCCCCCCACCCCAAATAAAGAAATAAATGTAATTTAAAAAGAGCTCATGTCTCCAGATATTTATTGCTTCTGGTGAACATAGGGAGGATGCCAGGGAACTTATTTCTAAGGGGAAAGTGTATTGTCATCTCTCTCTCACCATCTGGTCTTTGAAATATTTCAGTTCATTCCTTTGCAAAGTGAACCATCTTGTTTTCCAGGTCTGAGAAAAAATAAAACAATAGAACTTAGGTTTTAGATACAGAAATGCAATATCTGAACCTGACAATTTACTGGCATTTTTAAAGTATGTAAAAGATCAGAACACATAGGCCTAAAAATATTCTTGTGTGTGCTTCAGAAAAATTTCAAAATAGCTATAAACATTAAAATGAGTCTGCATTAAGCTCATGACAGAGATGCCATTAGTTCATTTAAATGAATAGAAGTGGCTGTGATCAATATACAAGGTGACTTATAACAAATTCCTTAAGTTTCTGTTTTACTAACTAATAAAAATACATATCAGTTTTGAGCATCTTCTGTGAACTATACCCTTTGAAGTTTATATACCTATTTATGTATGCCCTTGGAAATTTATTTAAATATAATTTATATTTACTTATGCATATTATATTCAACATTATTTATTGTTATTGTTATTATTTTATCTTAAAAATAAGCCTGTTGAAGTTTAGGAACCTTGGATCACATGACACTCTAAACACTATGTGAGGATTTTAGGACATCACAGAGAAAACGGTTCTGACTGTTATCACCTTCTTATATGCTGATAGAACCCTGATCTATCCTGGTGATAATGTATGCAGTTAAAAAGCAATCATTAAAACCGGGTGTAATGGTACATGCCTTTAATCCCAGCATTCAGGAGGCAGAGGCAGGCAGATCTCTGTGAGATCAAGGCCAGCCTGGTCTAAATAGTGAGCTCCAGGCCAGCTGGGGCTGGAGAGAGACCTGTCTCAAAAAGACAAAACAAAATTAAAAAAAAAAAAAACCCAAACAATAAAAGATTCAAGAATAAATATTCAGGCCAGGCATGGTGGTGCATGCCTGTAATCCTAACACTCAGGACATTAAGGAAAGAGGATTGCATGTTTGTGACCAGCCTGTGTTATAAGTGAGACCCTATCTGAAAATAAAATAATAATATAAACAAATCTGCTATGAATATGAATTTCCCCTATCTTCTGGGAGCACCCAGTATAGTAAGGATGTGAAAACCGGATGCTTAAGTTAGATTCAAGAGCCCAGTCCACAGGAGGGAGGGACTCTGACTCCTAAAACAGAGAAGAGCAGACACAATCCATGATGGTGGCCATGGCACACCAAAATGAGAAATAGAAGGACTTTAAAGGTAAAATTTCAGGGGGCAGGCTGTTAGGTACCCAGGACTTGTAAAGTACTGAATTGCATTTACTTTTGTGTTCTATAACAGTTTTGTTAACATCAGTGATGTGTGTTTGGCTGATCTTTAAGTAAACATTTTATAAAATTTTGATTATTTAAAAAAAAAGACTAGAAATGTTCAAGAGTTAATTTGCTACCTTTATCCTTAGTCTTTCCATTGAACAGATGACTTTTTTTTTTTAAAGTGTACTGTTGCAGGGCGTGGTGGCACACGCCTTTAATCCCAGCACTCGGGAGGCAGACGGATCTCTGTGAGTTCAAGGCCAGCCTGGTCTACATAGTGAGTTCCAGGATAGCTGGGGCTACAGGGAGACCCTGTCTCAAAAAGACCAAAAAACAAACAAACAAAAAAAGTATACTGTAGGTTATCCTTTAATCCCTGCACTCAGGAGGCAGAGGCAGATGGATCTCTGTGAGTTCAAGGCCGGCTTGGTCTACATAGTGAGATCCAAATCAGCTGGGGCTACAAGGAGAGCCTGTCCCCCCCCAAAAGAAAAAAAAGTCAAAGGTAGGTTACTCTTATGCAGGTCTTTGTCAAAGAATAATCTTCTTCTATTGGTTTTGTTTTAGAGGTTTCGTTTTGTTTTTGTCATTTTCCATATTTTTGACCAGTTATAAAAAAAAAAAACCACATTCTTGAAACAAGTAAATATAAGTGAGCCAAGATAAGTTGATGATTGTGCTTAAAAAAAACAAACCAACAACAGAAACTACTGAGATTGAGAAATGGGTCTGTCTGATGAGCTCTTTCTTGTGGCTGGCACAAGCAAAACCACACTTTCTTACCTTAACCAGGCCGCCCTGCTTGGTGAGGTAGCCTTCTTTGGTGCCCAGCTGCAAAAGAGAGAAGGCCAGAGTGAAGCCCAGAACTCTCAGAACACATTTGTTTCTGTTTTACTATTTTATTTTCTAGTGCTGGGGGTGGGACCTGTTCCCTCATGCAAAGGAGACACTTTACACCAAGCTACATGCCCATGCTCTGTCCTGTTTAATGAAGAACAAGTTGCCTCTGATCTTTAACTGATAGTGTTTGATTCTTCCTTTAGCACTTAAACGCTTCCATGTGCTTTGAGAGGCTGTTCACAACTGGATCATCTGATATATTTCATAGTAACAGGCAATGATGGAAAGACTCTAGTGATTCAAGTTGGCAATTGGAAACAGTAAACCACATTGTTTTGCTTATAAAAGGCAGTGTTGTTAGAGAGCACCATGTGAATGCCAGCTGCTTGCATTGTTGCAGGGGCACTAGTGCATAAACGCTCACGCGTACCTGTGACCAACGCCACGGTCGGCCCCCATATCCACCAGCTCTGCATCCTCTGATTCAACCAACCATGGACTGAAAACATTTGAAAAAAGTTGTGTGTACTGAACATGTTCCAATGTTTTTTCTTATCATCATTCCCTAAACAATCCATCCTGTCACCCATTTATATGTCATTTACATTGTATTAGGTATAAGTAATCTAGAGATCATTTTAAGTACATGGAAGGATGTGCAAAGTTTATATGCATACACTATGCCATTTTATATAAGGTTCTTGGGCATTTTAAGGATACTATTGATGTGGGGTCTTGGAACTATTTACCATAGATATTGATGGGTTAGCGCATTTGGGCCAGCGTATTAGGAAAGAAAAGGGTTTCTTTATTTCAGGACTTTGCAGTGTCTGTATTATTCTAATATGCTTTTTTTGAGTTTTAGGAGGGAGATAAGAACTATGAGGAACAGTGGAGAAACTGTGGAGAAGGCACTTCTAATTGCACAAATTTCTAAAGCAACTCAATTCCTAGGATGGTATTTTATTCTAATATGATCTCATAATATATCTTACATTAAAAAGAAAAAATGAATACACCAGAATGGGGAATGACTCGGTTGACATCAAGGTTCTTTTTATGGGCGTTTCCAGAGTACTTTTTCCTGGAATGAATTCTTCCTACCAAATGAAAAGAGGAACCACCACAGTACCAAGAATCAACATGAGAAACAGCATACGGCGACGTTTGGGATTTAAAGCAAGGATGAGACCCGTGGGCGGCCTGGCTGCGTTCCAAGCCCGAGGTGCTGGGGATGTGGAAGTGGAGTGGCCTGCCTGCGTTACGTAGTCCAGTCCAAGATGGCGGCCACCCCCAAAAAGAGGGCAGCTGCAGATGATACTTTAGAAGATCAACAAAAAATAAATTTGCATGGAACACGAGTAGACTAATGGAGCTTGAAGAAGAAATAGAAGTGACGTCAAAGAACTCCAGAGTTCAGAAGATGCTTGCGATGACATCATGCTTGCAGACAATGACTGCTTAAAGATTCCTTCAGAACTGGAGATGTTTTCAATAGCCACTTTCAAGAAACCCAAGACACACTAGAGAAGTCAAGAAAACTTTGCAGGAAGAAACTGACGCCTTGGAGTGCAGAGTGGCATCAATCCAGCGGGTATTAGCAGCTGGATTGCAAAATTTGGCAGCAACGTAAACTTTGAGGCAATAAAAGTTAAACATTTTATAATATTTTTAAAATTTGTTTAATAATCTTGAATATTGTTTTAAATGATAATTTCCCTTCTTCAAGTGACATAGAATGAAAACTTTCTTTTTAAAAAACTTTCATTAAGTAATGGAAACTTGCCTGTTTTCAGATGTCTTGCCTATTTTATACTTTTAAAAAGAGACAGTATTAATGTATGTATTTTGCATAATGATTATATCAATTTTAAGGGTGTTATGGCATGTTATTAAAATTGGTTAAACAGTTTAAAAAAATTAAAGAGGAGTTTTCCCAAGTGTCCACTTCGACAATGCTGATGGGTATTGCTGAATTTGACAACACAACATCAGTTTGATTTATTTTGATGTTAAAGAAATTAAACCAAATGAAGTATGAAAACTAAGAAAATTCATCATTTTGGGTTGTTGTAGGTTAATGTCTATGGGAGAAATTACTAAAGGGAAATTGTTATATGAATGATCCTAATAGATTTATTCACTGAAATAAGCTATCCACCCAGTCTTACTTCTACCTAATATACTGTAAGTCTAGTATTTGCTATGTCTTTTAAGTAACTTTTTTGTTACAGGCTCTCACCATGTATCCCTAACTGACTTAGAACTCAATGTGTAGACTGCCTTGAACTCACAGAAATCGGCCTGCCTCTGCATCCCAACTGCTGGATTTGAAGGTGTGCACCACCACCCCTGGCTCTTTCGTTACGGTTTTGATAAGCGGAAGACTGAAGATGAAAGCTGAGGACATTAGTTTTATCCAGGGTCTCAGGATATAAGAACTGAAGTCATTATACGGTAGACTTATCCTAAAACACATTTGCTCTGTAACAGGGACGGTGTTTAGAGCAGCCACAGGTTAGAAACAACGTAAATGTTTATAACTAAAGGATTAGCCGTGCTGCCTTCCTCCTTGTTTGCTATAAATGTCAAGTCATCGGGTGGGTGAAGCAAACAGGTCTCAGCTAGTGAGGGTGGGGCATTTGTACACCTTAGCACTGGGTGGCAGAGTCCAAGCAGGTAACAGGGGCCTCTATGTGGAGGTGATGCTATCTGTGGCAGTAGCTTGGGGTAGTGCACTAAAGCCTGGAAGAGCGAGGGATTCTTCAACAATGGTTGGAGGTGGCAACCAAGGCAGGTTCACAGAGGTGTGAGGTAAGGTAACTGAGCATCTGCAGTAAGGGTAGGGTGGCGGTGGTCTGAAACTGAGCTTCGGTGAGCAGGGAGTCAGAGTAGGAGAACAGACAGCAAGAGCAACTGGACTTTGCTTACATTCTGCTGATCATTGTACTCTACTGTGATGGGACCCATCTTCCTCACTGTGAGAGAAGGGTGCCAATGAAAAGGTGAAAAACTTGGGGCCGAACTGATGGCTCAGCAGTTAAGAACACTGAATGTTCTTGCAGAAGACCTGGGTTTGAATCCCAGCACCCATATGGCAGCTAACAACTGTCCATAACTCCAGTTCTGGGGGATCCAATAGCCTCTTTTGTCTTCCGTGGGCATTGCACAACATGGGTGTGCTTACCTACATGCAGGCAATACACTCATACACATAAAAAAATAAAAATAATAAATAAAATATTTTTTAAAAAGAAAAGATGAAAAACTTGAATGAGCCTTGTGGCTTGGATAAGGATTACAGTTATTGCTGTGCCCCCATGGAGGGACAAAGTGGTGGGTGGACAGATGGACAGATTGATATAGACATGGCATAATGCTGTAGATATATGTGCCAATGTACATATATTTTCCTTATCCCTGAGTAGGTAGAAGGGTGACGTTTCAACAAAAATAGGTGTTCATTACTCAGATACTGATTTGTGAAGTATCACTTAATAGACAAAGAAGAACAAAGTTTTTGAAAAACAGTTGATTCTAGAGATGAACAGGAAGAAAGCATGTGGTAAGTCTGGAACACCCTGCTATATTAGAAAGAAGGTTATTGAAGCACCAGGAGCCCATGCAGACACAGAAACCACCATGAAAGGACGCTTACCAGATCCAGGAAAATTTGAAAGAAAAATAAATCATGGTAGTTGTGGTTATAACCCATTGATACAAAAAATATTGGATAAAAGTAAAATAAGCCAGGCGTGGTGGCACATGCCTTTAATCCCAGTACTTGAGAGGCAGAGGCAGGTGGATCTCTGTGAGTTCAAGGCCAGCCTGGTCTACATAGTGAGTTCCAGGCCAGCTGGGGCTACAGGGAGACGCTATCTCAAAAAGACCAAAATAAAGAAAAAAAAATAGTGGAAAATAAAAACATTTTCCTTATTGTCAAATAACAGCCAATAAGCATAAAAGGGGTAAGAGAATAAGAAGCCATTTGCAATAATCACAGTTATGATTAAGATAGCCAATAAACACCAATTGATGGATACAATTTTAATGAGAAACAGCATATTCACATGGCCACCAATAGCCTTCCAGAAGCCTTTATTAATAACAAAAAGTGAAGAATTCCTAAGTGAAGAAACCTTTCGATAATGCTTAAGTGATTAAACTTAAGTGATCTTCCTGGGACAAACTGCAATCTGGTCAGTCTGAGAGGAGGCCTTTGAAGTGCTGAGAGGCCCTCATGATGTTTCTACTAAACCACAAACCCAGATCTAATCATGACTCAATGACAGACAGACCAAAATGAGGAATAGTCACAAAATGATTGACCTTTAATTTTCATAAACAGGAGAGAGGCAAACTCAAGGAAAAACCAGGTGTGTTCTGGAAGGAAGGATACTCAAGAGACAGGACAAGTAGCACGCCTTACACCTAGGACAGGCTCTTGGTGCTCTACAGCAACTTAGAGGGGACAGACACACTGGGGAAACTTGGCTGAGATCAGTGGATAAATTGTTGCTAACTTCCTAATTCAAACAGCTCTGTATGGTCACATAGGCAAGTGGACTTGTTTGTAGGACACGCACACTGAAACATTTAGAATTTCGGGCATCCTGTAGGCAGTTTACCCTGAAATGGCTAAGGAAAAGCCAAGCTCCCTGAACTACTGCATTTGCTCTGGAAACTTGTTAGTCCTTGAAACTCCTTAAGGGAATTCCTGCCTCAGGGACTTTCTGCCTGCTGCTTCTTGATAGGAACCCTTCCTTCCTTCCTTCCTTCCTTCCTTCCATTTATCTTTTACAAATTCATGTATGTATATAATGCATTTTCTCTTTCCTTTGAGTGACATTTCTGTTCAAATATTATTTGCTCAGAGAGGCCTCTTTTTCTTCCCCTAACCCTGCTTGGCATTATAATAAGTTGATTTCTGTTTGTGGCCTGCACTAAAATGGGAACTCAATAAGGATGAGTCTTTACCTAATTTACTACCAAACTCACAGTATGTAATTCTGGGAATATGGTAGGCACTTAAAAAAGTTTGCTTAATAAATGAATTAATTATATTGACTTTTACCTCAAGAACCTAATGCTTTCATGCTTACAATGCATAAATACCAATTTCCCGAAATGCAGTGACAAAGGATGCTAAAAAGATTTTACACAAGCACTTACATTTTGGGGAAGTGGTATAACTTTCATTTTTACTTCATGCAAGCCCCCTCCCCCATAAGAATGATGTAACTCTCTCCATAAACAGGGCTCACGCAAGAACTGAATCTCAAAATCTTTCAGAGGTGCTACAGAACTCTGAAAACCATCAGAGCTCTTAAGTGGGAGACAGAGGTGACAAACCAGGTGGCTATTTGGGACAACTAGTAAACTGAGAATCCTCCTGCTCAGCAGGGGACAAGTATTCCAATCAGACCAGAGCTAGTCCCTCAGCCATGTCAGTCCGGCCACCCAGGGTCTGTAAGCGAACAGTGATGAGAGATTTCAGAACGCATTAGAACGCCTTTGTAGGTTTTCCGTTGGTGGTAGTGGCATTTTTACATAACAGACTTCATGACCATCTCACTGTACTGTACATTCATTGTCAACCAAGCACTCACCATTATTTTAAAATTCCATTAATCAGAACCCTTCTGTGTTACAGTATTTCCGTACTTGGACAGGTGAGTTATCCGATACCTGGAGCGAGCGGCAAATGAAATAGCAAGGCTTCCAGAATTTGGTCTAAAGAGGCCCAGTCCTACCTGCTAAGACCAGTCCAACAGATTGGCTGACTCTTACTGTACATAAAGGATACACGTAGGAAGACGTGGTTCCACTGACCATGAATGTAGATATTTAGAAGTCTAACCAAGGAGAATGTGACTGAATTGAGAGTTGATGTGGTAAGAGATGCTACAGTGATTGGTGGAGCACAAAGAATGGGGAAAGAGGAAATTACGAGGGGATTGGCTGGCTGGAAGACAAGAACGGAGTAGAAGGAAGGTCTGCTTTGATCTTTTGTCTTTTCTGACTTTGGAATATTTATCACTTTCCATTCCTAAATTTCCCTAGCTCTGAGGTTGGATGCTTCCTCTCCCCAGTTCTAACAAAATCAAAATATCTTTTTAAACCAATTTCCAGGTTGCTTTTTTTTTTTTTTTTTTTTTAAAAGAGATGTGGCATAGTAAAAATGTAAGGCATGCCGTAACTAGTCCAGGCTACAAAACGACCAAAGCAAGCTGTGATTCCTGCCTTTCCCCATGTCAGGCCGGTGGGGGGAGAGACAGGTGTGGCAGCATTTGTCCGTGGTGGGACGAGCACAGGATAAAGGTGAACAGTGTGCTCTGCAGCACAGAAGAGCAGCATTTGCAAAGAAGCGGTTGCAACCATAGCAGGTTCCTGCAGGATTCTGACTGGATGCTTGACTGGGCAGGTGGTCAGTGGGTAGCAATGGTGTTGGTAACGCTTCAGATATCAGGAGTGAAGCAGGGACTCACAGACGTACATGCTGCGAGGCAGGCTCCACTGAGTACAGGAGGAACATGAGATGAGTCAGAGGTAAGCAGGGTACAGATGGGCCAAGAAGACTGTGGGAGCCACCAAAGGACGCCGGGAGGCCAAGCATAAATCTGATTTTACCCCTTCCTCCCTCTCTCCTTCCCTACCTCCTTACCTTCGTTTCTTCCTCCTTCCTTCCCTTTCTTCTTCCCATCCCCTCTTCCTCTTCTTCCTTTTTGTGGTATGTGTTGTGCTGTGCTGGGTGTATGTGCACGTACACGTGCACATGCATTCGTGTGTGTGAGTACAGGTGCACACATGCCACAGCATGCATATGGAGTCAGAGGACAGTCTTGAGTGTTGGTTTTTGCCTTCCTCCTTATTTGAGACAGGGTCACTTGTTTGCCACTACATATTCCAGGCTAGCTGGCCTGGGAGCTTCCAGAGACTCTCCTGTCTCTGCCTCCCATCTTATCACAGGGAACACAGATGCATGAGCTACTGCATCCCCCATGTCATGTAGCTTCTGATGTGAACTTGGGCTATCAGGCTTGTATAAATAGTGCTCAACCCTCTGAGTCATCTTCCTGGCCTTCCTTCTTTTTTATTGACAGTGTCTGGCTACACAACCTTGGCAGCCTCAAAGTTAGCTTCTCTAGTGTTGGGATTACCAGGCTGCACCATCACTCCCGGCGTGGTAAATTTAAGAAAGACTTCTTTGGTGTCAGACTAGAACAAAGTGCCTGTGAGATGAGAAGATCCAATCTCATCCATGGTTGGTAGCTCAAGAACTGCCAGTGATTATTTTTCGGGTGTAGAATTAGTTCTGGATGCTTCAGTTGGGCATTATAGTTTTTATCGAATTCTGGATTCCTCATACTGGAAGTACTGAGCTCTCCAGGAAGAGACAGCAAGTAGAGGAGGAGGAGCCCAAGAATGGGAGAGACAGGGGTCAGGAGGAGTCTGTAGGCTCACAGTTCACAAGCACACAGACGTCCACTCTGGGAGGAGTTCTAGTTAACGCAAATGGAACAGGAGCTCATGTTGCAAAGCAGTGTGGATGTTTCTGTAAGTGGGCATCAGTCAGTGAGTGCCCTGAGTTTTACGGTAAAGCTGGAGAAGACTTTTCTTTCATGGATAGTTGACATGCAAAGAAACTGGTTTTCTCAATTTTAAGCAGCTTGTCAAATAACTGTTTGGTCAACTAGGTGGCCACATCTCACTCCTTCTACTGTGGGCTCATTTGGCCATCTCAAGACAGACATTTCAGTGCCATTTTCTATGTTTTTGAGATCTTCTGATAACTAAGATGTGTGTGCATTTATGTGTGAGCACACACATGTGGATGTTTAGTGAGGATCAAACTCAGGGTGCTACAGTACCAGGCAAGTACTCTAACACAGATCTACGCTCAGCCAAAGAATGGTGGGTTTTTTAAAAAATTTGTTTAGTTTTTATCTGTCTTGAACCAGATGAACTAACTGAGTCATGGCCTTTCCACAAACACCTTCTACCATGGCCTTCAAATTTCCAAGTTTTAGATCTCCAGCTAGAATGCTATTTTTTCTTTGTTTATTTGCTTGCTTTTTGAGACGGCGCTGCTGTGTAGCCCTGGCTGACCTGGAACTCTCTATTTAGCCCTAACCCCCAAGTCATCTCTGCAGCCCTGTGCCCAGGGTGGTTTTGAACTCACAGCAATTCTCATGTCTCAGCCTTCCAAGTGCTGGGGTTACAGGTGTGTGTCACTGTGCCTGGATCTAAGCGTGAGTGTTTATGTGAACGAATTTTGGACTTTAATTCTTACTGCACCACATGGTGCAGTAAAAGAGCTGTGGTGAGCTTGGTGGTCACTTACAGAAGGTGCAGTGGGCACAAGGTCATCCTCTGTTCTTCCTGTCTGCATTGCTGTGTGGACCCGGACGGATTCATAAATGGAAGGTTCTTCTACTTTCCTTGGATAGGGATGTTTCAAAACAATCAGAGTGCCTGAATGAGGACAGAAATACGTATTATCCAATGTGATCTCTGGGAGAAGAGCCAAATGCTGGCTAGGTGACTGACTGGATTGTAAAGACCCCTGCTTTTATTTTTTTATTAATATTTATTTATGTATTTGTGTGTGTGTGGACAGTCTACGTGTGTGGCACATGTGTGGATGTCAGAGGACAAGTTTTGGGGTCAGTTCTCTCCTTCCATCATGGGCTCTGGACATGATGAACTTAAACTTAGATCATCAGGCTTGCATAGCAAGCACTTTTACCCGTTGAGCCATCTCACTGGCCCATCTTGTTTTTACACACATGCACTTGTTTATCTCCACAGCACTCACAGAGGACCAACTGCACACCAGGCACATACTTTGGATGCAGAGACATGCAGCGGGATTTAGAAGAGTAATGAACATAGCCATTTAAATGAACCCAGTGATGAGACCTCTGGACTAATGGGGACAAAATGGGATGTTGGCACCTGAGGAGACTGAACAAGCTTTTGTAGGATATTCTGAAAAAAAAAAAAATCCCACAATGGGATTCACACTTGATCTAGATCTTAAGTGATAACTAGAAAACTTAATGAAGGCACAGAAACAAAGCTGACTGCACCAGAGCACAGGGAGATCTATTCCAATACCCTATTTCTTACCAGCTTCAAAACAAGCTTGTAGCAAATCAGTGGATCTCAAAGAAGTGGACTCCCAGCCCTCTCCCCACAGTCTCCTGTCATTAACTAAGTGAACTAGAGGAAGCCTTGGCTTGTCTTGGATGAGCGTGGCAGGAACAGCCTGAGACTCATTTGTAATTGCTTCCACCTCCACTGGAAGGAGGGTCAGGCAGAAAAGGGGTTCAACCCAGAAAAGTGGGGCCTGGGAAGTTCTGAGGCTCAGAGAACTTCTGACTCGACACTTCTGACATTCCCCCTTCTGCAATCTTCCCTCAGTGGATCAGTCAATCAGAAACTAGAAACAGTACAAAGAGCCTGGAAGGTTTTTTTTTCTCACTTGCTCTGGCTTCTTGCTAGATTTGGGGCAGGAGGGGCAGGGGAGGTGCTAGAGATGGAACCCAGGGTCTTAGAAATGCTAAGCACAAGCTCCTCTACTGAGCCATACCCTTAGTCTGCTTCTTGCTTTTTATTTCACAAAAGTCTTTTTTATAGCAGGTCTATCCAGGACTGTATTTGATGTGGAGGAGACTTAAGTAATTCAGTCATTCAATCAAGATTTTCATTGCTCTGCTCGTGCCAAGTACTTGTGCTGACTGAGGACAGCACAGCAAACTAGGGTGCCTGCTTTTATTAAGTTTACATGGTAGACTGGGGGGAGGGACAGAAAAACTAGAACAATAAAATTCACAAGCAAAAGGTTATGAACAAAAGAATAAAGCCAGGCAAAGGAACAGTGGGTTGGGAGGGGAGTGTCAGTCTTCACTGGTAGTCATCTTTGAAAAGACAATTTGAAAGACTACAGAAAGCACAGACATGAACTGGGGCAAAAGAGGAACAATAGTGACAGAAAAATATCTCCTTGGTGGCTCAAGAGCCCTGAATGTTAATGGTAACTGTAAATGTTTTCTAATACATGTCTGACTGCCAAATCAAGACAGTGGCTCCTGATATCTTGGCCCAGATAATGTGCCACAAAAGCCAAGAAGAAAAGGCCTGTTGAGAGAGGAGGAAAAGGGTCTCTGACACATCCTTAGGAAGAATGAGAGCCCAACCTCTCTCTGTGTGTCCCATTCACACCAGTAGCATTGAGCTCACAATGAAAAACGGCTGGACTGTTACCAGAGGTCCCAGCCCCGCTCCTGCACATTGTCTGTGTTCTCTTTTGTCACCACAACCTTCCTGAGAATGTATCAGTCATACTGGGAGCAGGAGTCAGAGTGAAAGCAGAGGTATCTGAATCAAGAGCAGCCGTTGAGCAGGCTCAGAGGCCAGGCCAACGCTCTCTCCACGCAGATGGTGCAGAGCTCAGGGCTGGCTTCGATATGTCCCACCCCAACGAACACCTCCAGTGGTGTGCTGGGCATCATGGAAAGAGCCCTGGACCCACCAGCAGAGACTAAGCTGGATCACTCCCATTGAGCCTCGGAACCTGTTGGTCTTGTGTAACCATTCTGTGCTTCTGTTGGACCTCTGACTGATGCGAACAGCTATACTTCCTTCACAAGGTGGAGCTAAGTACCAGACAGAAGGTGTTTGTGGAAAGATACTATTCTTTGGTATACAGCATTTTAAAACATAAAGTGAAATTCCACTGATTGCATCTTTGCATGCTTGGATTTTAATTTTTTTTAAAAAAGATTTATAGGTGCATGTGTGTGTCTGTGTGTGTTTTTACACGTGCACACATGTGCCATGGCATACGTGTGGAGGTCAGAGGGCAGCTTTCAGGAATTGGTTCTCTCCACCGTGTGGTCCCAGGAACTAAAGGCAGGTTGTCAGGCTTGGCACCAAGTGCCTTTTCCTGCCGAGTCATCTCACCTGTCCTGGAACTTGGATTTTAAAATCTTAAGTTCACGATTCCCGGACTGTCATCTGCCCCCCAACCCCCGTGTCCTCCCACCGCTTTCTAGCTTTGTCTGCCCACACACTCCCATCCCCATTCTGAATGCCCCTCTGGGGTGGCGGAGACAAGGGGGTGCCTTCAGGGGAACCGTGTCCCACGCAGAGGAGGCGCGGCATGGTGGGAGGAGCGTCCACCATTGCTGTTTTCTGTGCGTGGTTTGCGGAAAAAATCAGCACAACAGTGTGAAGAGATCTATTGCAAGTCCCATTCCAGAAAAAAGAATGGACCAAAAGGTTATAGACGGCCAGGGATCTGGCATGTTCACCACAGGCCAAGGTGAGACGCAGGGCAGCAAGCCAGAGCGTGCTCAACCTCACAGACCTACAACAAATCAAATACTTCTGAATTTGCTCAGAAATGAAGAGGTGCTGAGAAGTGTTCCAGATGAGGGGACTCCATATATGCTGCCGGGAAGCCCGGGCACAAAACCTGCTTCTGATGTGCCAAGTGTGGGAACTCTGACTGAGAAAGAAGGTGAGATCTATTATAAAGGATGCTGTGCAAGGAACTCTGGGCCCAAGGGATCTGGCAATGGTGAAGGAGCAGGAGTCTTCACGCTTGCTCAGTAAAGGTATGAACCCAGAACTAAGCATCACACACTGAGAATCTGACTTTACGATACTAAAGTTCTGTGAAACCAACAGCACCAAGGACTGTGGTCACCCTCTACCTGCACAGGCTAACTTGGAAAAGACAACACTGCAATCTGTCCCTTTATTCACTAGCATTTTGAAAAGCATATCTTGAAAAGCATTTCAGTTTGAAAAAAACTTAAGTTCATAGGGCTAGAGAGGTGGCTCAAGAGTTAAGAGCACTGGCTGCTCTTGCAGAGGACTTAGGTTTGGTTCCCAGCATTCACATGGCAACTAACAGCTGTCTGTAACTCCAGTTTCAGGGATCTGATGCCCTCTTCTGGCCTCTCTGGGCCCAGCATGATAGGGGTGCACTTACATACATGCAGGCAAAGCACTCATACATATGAAATAAAAATACATACATGCATAAATACCTTAAGTTGAAAAAGAACCAGATGCAATATTCTGCTAGGAATAAAGGTAGTGGTCATTTAGTAATGACTACACTAACTACACTCTGAGATAGACCAAAGCTTGTGGTCTATCTGACAGCCAGAGGAGGAGAGGACATCTGACAGCCAGAGGAGGAGAGGAGAGCTCACAGATCAGAAACATTTTCAAACTTTACATATGATCTTCAGAATTAATGCTTGTTTTTCTACAATATTCTATATACCTGATATAAAAATGATGCTTGATTACTATTTATAGACAAAAGTCTCATGTAGCACACGCTGGCCTTGAACTTGCTTTGAGGTTGAGGCTAGCCTGGAGCTTCTGATCCTCCTGCCCCAACCTGCTGGAATAATAGGGATACACTACCACACACAACTTCCAATGTGTATTTCCAAGTCCTTGAGTCTCTTCAGAGTAAGTATGGTCAAATTTGTCTTTGTATCCCCATACCAGATGGTGAGTGGATGAACGCTACAGTAACTCAGGCTTAAGTCAAGGAACAGCCGGAGATGAGCCAGTTTTCCAGGTACACAACTACTCTGTCCTGAGGCCAGGGCAGGGCAACTTTAGAAATGGCTTTTAAAATCTGTTGGAAAGGGGAACCCCAAATCTGTTTTAAAACCTTCTAAAGTTTAACTCAACAAGGGAAATAGTATTGAGTCAAGTAGGAAAGCAGAATTGACGACAGTCTAATTTTAGCCAGCAAAACTGTGCAAAGAACAGAATGTAGAACTAATTACAAGTGGTAATTTGTGCTGATGAAACTCTGGTTGGGGGGTGGTGGTGCTAGAGAGCTGGCTTAGCCATTAAGAGTCCTTGCTACTCTTGCAGAGGACCTGGGTTCCTTTCCTAGCACCTACGTGGAAGCTAACAATCATCCCTAACTCCAGTTCTAGGAGAGCCAGTACCTTCTTCTGTATTTCACAGGATTCAGGTATGCGGTACATTTACATAGACACAGGCAAAACACTCATCGCATAAAATAAAAATAAACTTAAAAAACTCTAATGTCATAAAAGGCACCAGTTAATCTTTCTTGCCCAAGGAGAAGTATGTAGCATAGACTCTGTGTCAGGGCTGAGGATCCCCTGGCCCTGCCTACCGCCTGGCCCTGCCTACCGCCTGGCCCTGGGCACTTTCTCACCAACACCTACCCTAGGCCACACTAACTAGATTCACTTTCAGAGGATCCACTTAGTTCCTCCTCTGGAGAGAAGGTTCACCAGCTTCAGTTCAGAAGTATACTGTTGTTTCCTGGTTTCAGAAACATTATTTTAGATGAGCAGAGCTAGGCTGAGGCAGACATCCCAATCCCTGAAACCCTCCGACTTGCCCTGTCTACTTAGCTCGCTCCTATTGGTCTCTTTGTTGTTCAGGTTGCACTTAAATTT